TTTTAACCGTTTGAATCATATCCGGAGAAAAAAAAATTATGAGTCAATTTTTATTTCCAACTTTAAAATTTGAGGATGATTCTTTATTATTTTTTTTAAAATAATAAACATATTAATAGGAAGATTAATACTTAATTTTTTAATCCATTCAAAACAACATAATTCAATAGATAAGACATTCATTATCTAAGTCATGTATTTGATTTTATATTTAGATTCCCTCCAAAAAAAAAAAATTGATATTTAATATTCATACATTTAACTAATGGAATTCTGAGCATACCCATTGCCCGAAAAAATGATCTTGTCAGTATAAATGATCTTTTTGATCTTTTCCCGTGTTCAGCTATAGCAGCAACCCTTGAATCTTGAACCACATGGCATTCCAATCCACTTTTTGGACCGAGAAAGCGGGACTGCTTGACATTGTTACTCATTTTTAGAATGATCTAGGTGGATTAAAATTTGGTTTGAAAATTGAAATATATATATATATATATAAAAAAGTAGGGATTGAAGAGTCGGGAAATATTATCTATGTCTCTATAGAATTGAGAGAAATGTGAATAAGGAGAATTTCTTAGAGGGAAAACAGTGGTGGTGCTTGCTGCTATACATGAAAAAGGAAAACACAAAAGTAAAAAAGAAGAAAAAATAAAGAGGGGAAGGGGAATGGGAATGGGTAATAGAGTGGTTTCCAATTTTTCCTCTTCTGAACACAAAACAAAAAAATAATAATAATAAAAAAAATGAGAAAAAAATGGGGGGGTGGGTGGATGGATGGAATGGAATGGATGTAAAAGCACATGAGATGACACCTGCTTGCTGCTCATTCATATCATGATGATGATGCTAATAACGCTTCAACAAACTACGATCTAGCCAGGATACCAGAACCTCCTCTGATTGAAAGCATCGGTCCGTAGCTCGGACTTCGACTAATCAAATGCGAATCCAGGAACAATACTACAACAGTTATGTCGTCGTGAAAATGCCTTCTTACCCCGCGGTCGATCTTCTTCAAGTCTGTGTATCTCATTTCTCTTTTCTTTGCAGCTCCATGAAGAGCCGCTTTAACCAGTTTCCTTGCAACCCCCTGTAATAAGTTAGATTACCAACTTTTAATATTGTATTTAATACGTCCTTGAAGCTCGCCAATGGCAAGAACTCTTTTCTACAGTGAGAGGTAGTCTACTCGAATGTAGAGAAATGGCCATAACAGAGAGAAATAGAGAGAAATGGCCATAACAGAGAGAAATAGAGAGAAATGGCCATAACAGAGAGAAATAGAGAGAAATTGCCATAACAGAGTTTCACAGTTACTCTAGTAGAGAGAAATTGCCATAACAGAGTTTCACAGTTACTCTAGGAGGAATTTCTTTGTAGCTCTAGAATACTTCCGTTTATGCTCCTACCTATTATCTGAATAAACCAAGAAATATTTACTCAAGGGTGGGGCAAGTTCTATTCTAGTTCATGGTTTCTCTTGACTAGAGATCGATTTTCAAGAAATAGTAAATGGTCTTTTCAATACACAAATGTATGACTTCCCAAGAATTTCAATTGCACTTGTTCATCACCGTAGGAATTGGGTTCAAGCTTTTCCTAGCCCTTTCTCATCAATGGACTCCTAACATATACAAAGGAGTGCATTTCGTTCGATAAATTCCTACCATTTCTGAGATGTTTGGAGTTTTCAAACTTCATGGACAGGCAGAAGAGAAATACTATCCCAAGAAGCAAACAGAAGAGCCTAACAAAGATAGAGCAAAAGAAAACATACATTACGTGGACAACTATGGACGATGTCGACAGCTTCCTGATTGCTTATATACTCCCAAAGACCATCTGAAGCAAAGATAAGGAACTGATCCTCCGGATACAGTTTCTGCACTACAATAGCAGGTTCGGCTTTAAGAATTGGCTTGTGGAATGGTTCTGGTAATCTGAACTTGGGCAAGAGAGGCTCTCGGTTGAACTCTGTTTTCTTCAGATAAGCATCACCAAGGGATCTTGAGACCTACATCACCAGGAGAGTGATACTTTCTAGTAGGGAAATAATTTTTGAATTTTATATCAAGAACGAACAAACAAACAAACCTGTATAACACCCTTCACGCGCCACACCTTGTGCTTTAGCACAACGATCTGCGGATCACCGGGATGCAACGAGTGCAACTCCTCTCGCACAGATTCAATACTAGCATTGTGCTCAGATGACAATTGGATGGCTTTAACCTCTTTATGAGTTTTTTCAAATCTTCCCAACACCACTCTAGAATCTCCAGCATTTGCAATATACAGTAATCCACAACATATTATGCCTACCAAACAGCATGAACCAACCGAAGCAATTTGAGGCTTACTAAGCCATTGTTTCTTTACAAGAGACAAAAATTCCTCCTCTGTCTCCAAGAATGCTTTGTTTATAATTTCAGCAGATACTCCCCGATTTTCTGGAATAAATTCTGCACCATGAAAAGCTGTCAAATGTAAACATTCCAATTAGCTATATAATGAAAATTGGTAGGAGACCATAAAACCACTCACTAACTCACAACCACTCTCCAGGAAAAGACCAATATACATCTTTCCTTCCATCATTTGCTTTCGGAACTCTATACTAATTTCCGCTACAATCTAGACGTTTTAGGTACAAGAACATACTTTCGATTCCCGTTTTGCAGATTCCCAAAACATTTGACAAGTCACCGAATTCAGAATCGAAAGTATAATGTCACTTTCCTCTAAATCAGCAATAGCAAGTTCAACATATTGTTGAAGGCAAGATATCGGTCGAACGTAAATGCTGAGGTCCACAAATCATCTCTCGATCTATTTTACTCGTTTTGACAAAAAAGACAAATTTCAAAGGATGCAATGGTTTCTCTCAAGCACAGAAAACATCCATTTCCACTTAATAGTTCCTTACATATGGCGCAATCTCATATCCTTCAGCTGAGACAATCAAATCCTTCTCTAATCCATCATATAGGTCAATGTCGAGTATATATAGAAAAGAAACAGAACCCGTTTCATTGAACGATGGAATAGAATACTAAAGGAAGTCCTTTCTCTAAAATAGTTACAAAAATTAAATCCATTCGGATAAAATGATGAAGCAATATTCATGTCTCATGATCAGGAGACGTTAACAGTGATTCTCCCTCAGGTTGCATTGACACACTTTTCAAAAGTCATCACAAACTCGATATTAGACTACAAACTTAGATGTTGATCTAACTAGGACAATCAAATGATATGCACAGAAATATTCTGCATAAGTAAATGTAAGACTTACTCTTCATATTATTGAACAGACGATCACTTATGAATTCTGCAGCTTCAGGTCCTCCATGGCCATCATAGATTCCAACGAACGTCCCAATGGGACCTGATTCAAATGAGCTCAGTGGCCCTGACTCGAGTTGGCTCCGATCTTCCAACAAATTATTTGCCTGAATAACCGCCATTGAGAATTCCCCATTAATATGGCGGCCAGAATCCTTGTACCATAACAATCCATCAACCCGACCACTCGCATCCCCACCTCTGCTGGAATTTTCACCTTCAACAGAAGGTTTCCAGCAAGGTGATACAATCTTCATCAAAGTTTCTGATACCATCCCTTACATATTCTCACCCAAATGATCCAGCACCAAAAACCATTCTTCGAACCGAGCAGAAGGATAGTTTTAAAATCAGAAGTTCGCTTGATTTCGTTCACAAATATAGGAATCGAAATAACAAGTTTCATATATCAGAAAGCCATTGATCAAAGCAGACACCATTAATGTTTCAATCAGAAAACATTGAGTTTCTTGATGGCTATACGTAGGAAAACTGCAAACACAATGGCACAACAAATGAAAAGACAATTCAAAATTCACAATATAGAACAGTATATAACTAAAATTCAATCGCTAAGTTTACAAAATTGAACCTATGAACAATAAAGAATACAAAAACACCAATAGCAAACCTTGATCACTGATTTCCGATAGATCTTGCAGGCCCTTTTCTGCAGAACTGCTCAATTACAGATGGATGAACATATTATATGATGAACTAAAAAAGGGAATCGATTAAAAGAAATTCGGGTGTTCTGACAGAAGGAAAAGAACTGTCAGAACGTTGAAACGGGTAGATCTGGAAAGAGAGAATTCCTGAAGCTTAATTGGCCCTCCTCCTCCCCAGGGTCCTTCCTTTTCTTTTCTATTTTCTTTTTTCTTTTTTCTTTTTCTGTTTCTTTGAGCCAAAGAAACAGATGGATCACTCTCCAACAACAGAACCCCTTGGTTTGGAAACAATTTAAGAAACTAAAAAAGGAACCTCCCTCTCGGAGGGCTCTTCTTGGCTGACTAAATCAGGCACTTTTCGGTTACGGTTTTCTAATTTATTGCCCGGACTTTTTGACTTTGACCTTCAACGAATCCGCCATTCTTGGCAAAAAGGAAGAATAGCAAAAACCCTAAGAAAATATGAATCGAAGTAATTCCAAAAACAGACAAAAGAAAAGATCCTCAGATCACTTTCTCGAGAAAATGAGGGTAAATTTTCCGGGAAAAGTTAGGAGAGAGAAATTGAAAAGGAGTGGATCGAGAAATGAAATGATAAACCCTTCGAATTCAAAATCAAATGAAGAATCGTTTGCCTTCTCTTCGCTGGTAAAATCGGCCGTCGATTCATTCAGAAAGGTATTGATCTGGCACAAACATCTGGCATTCGAATATTCAGAAATTCCATTTCGCACACATTCTTCCATTTTCAATCGCTTACTTTTTGATGCACTGCATAAAATTTAAAATATACATATTATTATTTAAATATGTATATTTTTTTTTGTTAAAAGTATGTTCGAATTTTATAATTTAAATAATGGAAATTACAAAAAAAAAAAAAAAAAATTATTATATATATATATATATATATTATTTTTTTTTTTAATAAATAGAATAGTTGAATTTTTTTGTTAAAATTAAAAAATGTATAAAAACGTCGAGGGAAAATTTTCAGTAGCGTTTTCGCTCCTTGAAATTTCAGGAAAATATGTGGGTGCGATCAACCTGAGATGTCCGTTTCTCCGTGGCTATCCCCCAATCAGACTCTGATTCGATTCACGATTCCGACTGTTTCAGCTCGAGATCACCTTCCATTGATTCGTTCGAATTTCGCAACCGCTTTTACCGGAGGATCGGACATGGCAGTTAACTCCGTTCGTGTCGCCGTCGCTCAAATGACCTCCATTAACGACCTCTCTTTCAACTTCGCTACATGTTCTCGCCTCGTCAAAGTATGTTAACTCACAGCACTCTTCGTTGTTTATGTCTTAATCATCATTTTATCTCTGCATATGGCGATACCTACAATGTTTTGAAAACCTTTCATAATTGTTCGGAATATTATGAATCAAGGTCGTTGACAGCCTAATTTCTGTTTGAAATGCTTGTTTGAAGTTATTATGGGAGTAAATTATCCGTCCTACTGTAGAAAGAAAAGAATTAAGAGTATAAATCTCTGATTACGAGGTTAGCCCATCGAGATTACTTTGAGACAATATTCTGCCGTTTTCAGCCGAACGGACGTTTCTTCTTATTATTCTTATAATTTTGCCCAGTTTCTTGTATTAGTTGTTATGTGTATGCAATTCATCCTTTTGAAGCTATGAGCTATTGATTAGAAAATGGTGGATTTGATGTCTGAATGATCGATTTATCAAAAAAAATAATAATAATAATAAATAAATCAATATTCCTGTTTTGAAATGATTTTGCTTTCAGCTAAACAAGGTAACACGATCATTTACATATTCATAGGAAGCAGTTTCAGCTGGAGCAAAACTGGTATGCTTCCCAGAGGATTTTTCTTTTATGCCTGCCAAAGATGGGGAAGGTCAAAAGATTGCAGAGCCTTTAGACGGACCAATTATGAATCAGTACTGCTCTTTAGCAAGGTTGTTCATAATTCTTCGGCCGTTAAATCTCTGTCTAAGTCACAAAAATAAGCGACTATTTACTTAAATTTTAATCTCTACCATCATACTATTTTAGGGCATCTTTTTCTTCAAGTTGCTTCTCTATAGAATATATTGCAAACACGCATGATTGATAATTCAAATTGGTTTCAGTTCGTGATAATTCAAATTGGTTTCAGTTTGTGGTTATAGGCACAATCTACAGTAACAAACAGTGATTTCATGAACATCTTTTAAACGTCTCCTAATTTCTGTGGACTCTGAGTTTTGCAGAGAATCCAGCATATGGCTATCACTTGGAGGCTTCCAAGAAAAGGGACCTGATGATGAACATTTCTACAACACACATGTCATAGTTGATGACAGTGGAACTATCAGGAGCACTTATAGGAAAATACACCTGTAATGCACTTGCAATTTATTTTATATTAATGCGTGTGTTTGTTAGAGAGAGACGGAGATCATATACTTTTGCGCACTTGATTGAATTATACATTTTCAGTAGTGAAAGTTACTTCATTTGTGTTGGAAGCTAATGTGACTGATGAATAAATTTCCTGCATTATTTTGTATGCTTTGTCTTTATGCTGTGCAATTTTTTTATGAAAAGGTTCGATGTCGACGTTCCTGGTGGAAGAGTATATAAAGAAAGCAGCTATACAAAGGCAGGTAACTTCCTTGACATCTTATGAATGCAGAAACGTGTATAATGGTTCTCTGTCATTTTCCTTTCTTCATTATGTTAAGAAGCTACCCTAGAGTGGCTACAATGTCAAAGGAATTTGGGTGAAGCAATGTGGCACGAGTCAATTTTATTTAATGATTTCAAAAAGTTCTGTTCATCCTAATAAGTTGTTTATATTTTAGGAGAAGACATTGTGGCAGTTGACAGTCCTATTGGAAGACTTGGCCTGACTGTATGCTATGATTTGAGATTTCCAGAGCTCTACCAGCAGTTGAGATTCCAACACAATTCTCAAGTATGAAAAATTCCAGTGTATATTGAGATAAAATTTTCCTAGCTGCTAGCATCTGAATTTGGATAAAAACTGGCAGGTCTTATTGGTTCCTTCAGCTTTTACAAAAGAAACTGGGGAGGCACATTGGGAAATTCTTCTTCGTTCTCGTGCAATTGAGAATCAATGCTATGTAATAGTTCCTTTCAATTCATACACTTGGATACCGGTTTCACTTTTGTTTAAAGGATGTTGGTGGGAATTGACTTTGAAAGCTTGTCATTCCGCTTCATTGCTTCTTCTACGCTGATAAAATAAACATTTATCAGGTCATAGCTGCTGCTCAAGCGGGAAAAGCAAATGGGAAAAGAGAGAGTTATGGTGACTCCTTAATCATTGATCCATGGGGAAAAATAGTCGGTCGATTATCTGGTGAGGACCGTTCTTTCCCCTTCTAATTCATTTTCACCCCTTTTATGGCATGCCAAAAGGCTACACTATGGATAGTCCCACTAACTATGACTCTCATCAGCATGAAATGATCCTAAATGTTCTCAGTTACTCTCAGAGATACTAGCAGCCTGTTTGCATTTATTACTTCTTTTAAATCTATGTAAATGAATCAATTCTCCTAAAAAATCAACTTGTATTAATGATCTTACATAGTAAGGAAGCATAATGTCCTGATGTTACAGTAAAGTTATCACTTAATGTAAACTTGGAGATTCTCTCTAAGATTTAATCTTTATCATTTTAAAATTTCATCGTGGTCTGATGCCAGGGATGCCTCAGGATGGCAAATTTTTTTTTAATGAAGAATAGTGTAATACCAGTTCTGCACTGCTTACAGTAGCTCTAAACTTTTTACCACGCTTACAATTTATTTTCTACATTGTTTTTTCACCTTACATCGATTTTCTTGTAAAAATTCTAACAACGAATAGATGAGGGGTAATTAAACAAAATGTAGGATATAGTATTGGTCTGCAACTGAAAATTGTTTCAAGTATTGTGTAACGGCCTAAGCCCACAGTTAGCAAATATTATCTTTTTTGGGCTTTCCCTTTCGGCTTTCCCTCATGGATTTTAAAACGCGTCTGCTAGGGAGAAGTTTTCGCACTTTTATAAAAAAAATGTTTCGTTCTCTTCCCCGACCGATGTGGGATCTCACATCAACGTTCTCCATAGAAGAGAATAATGAACATTTCTCAAGCTGATACTTTATTTGTGCCCAAAGTCCAGATAGTGCATATTCTTTTGTAGTTCGCTGTGTCAAATATTTATCCCTCATATTTCATTTATTTCAGATCGATTAGCAACTGGCATTACCGTAGCAGACATTGATTTTGATTTGATCGAGTCAGTGAGGTCAAGGCTTCCAATTGCTCAGGTAAGTTCAATCAAGTTTATTTACACAGAATCAGTGAAATATGGCTATTATGTTCTAGTTCGATTGTCCTGCATTTTAATTTGAAAATGTTCATTCAACTATAGCGAAGCTCATGGTTCACTGCTAGTGCTTTTACTCCATTATAAACATCTTTTTCTTAAATAATTTTTATTTGCGGATAAAACTAGTTGGACTGGTGGGGTTGATTTATAGAAATTTTAATTTCCTCGCCCCCCTCATCTCTTGCGAGGTATTTCTATTTCTTAAAAGAAGTTGCTTTGAATTTCATAAAAAGAAACAGCAATAGCTCGCAAACAACAACGTTATTTCAGAATTTGCCTATTTATTCCATAATTCTGCTTTCTTTTCAGCAACGGAAGCCCTTCGACTTCTGGAAACCAGCGTCTATGTGACTCCTTACAGTTCACTCATCCAGGTGCATTTACATTGTTTTTAAGCTATCACACATTTCTTGGTCAACTGGGTGATCAATTTGATGTCTATTTAATGTCAACTGTCTGTATCTATGTATTGCCTTAGTTGATTGTTTTTAAAATTCAGAGGTTTGTTGGACAAAAAATTGAAAGTTTAAGAGACTTTTTTGATAATTTTTAAATAAAATGGACATTTTAAATTAAAAATTTTAGTACTGGTATTTGAATTTAAGTTGGATTTTGATTGTACGAATTTCTTAAAATTTGGAACTACTCAACTCTCATTGGTTTTGAAATTACATATTTACTTTTCTATTCACTAGATTACTATTAGTGGACTTTTTATTTCTTTATATAACTTGTACCTGCAATAGAAGGCTTCACCTTTAATAAGTATAAGGTATCGAATGTAAATAAATTTATATTTACATGTTTTTTTAAACGTAGAAACGTGGTTTCTAATCTTTATTTCCGTAGTCTATCTATTGTAATAAGAACCAAATTTCTAATAATTGTCTGCTTTTGGTTTATTTTTTAAAATAATTATTTGTCTTGTATGTAAATTATTATTATTATAACTTAATCAATTATTATTATTCTAATGAAGGACTAAATTTAAGATTTAATGAGAGCATATTTCATTTGAATTATTATAAATATATGAACTATTATAATGAAACTTAAAATATGAAATCTAAAATAGTATTATTTTAATCTACGATATTTTTAGCATTTTTTAAAATTTTACTATACATCTAAGGAGTCTTTCAAAATTTTAAATTTTAGTTAGTTAGCTAAGACTTCTCAATAACAAAGAATTAATGTTTTTGTACTCTTTGAAGTTGAAAGTTCACTTTTACCATAAGTCTTTTCTTTGACTCGAGGACGTAATTTTTCTCATTGCTACTGAATTTAGCCAAAAATTAACCTAAATCAAACCTCATTTTTAACTGCATTATTACTGATAGCGAAAGAAGCTTATGAATTTGCTCTCAAAATATAGCATTACACATTAATCTGAGGACATGGTGAGGATGTAAAAATAGTAAATGTCCTCCATCAGCTATTATTTTTTAAGGTAAAAAGTGGACAGTCCTTTCACACAGCGGGACTAATATTTAGTTATATAACCAACATTTTAAAATCAATGTACTATTGAAAACCATTAAAGATAAATTTGGTAGTCCTAAAAGTGAGCTTAGGATTCAGAAGCACTTTTCAAAATTCTATAGCATTTTAATAGAGAAGTAAAAGTGATTTCCCCTAGTAGAAAGTACATTTTTTTAAAAATGATCCTAAATATAATAAATGGCAATCAGTGGAGTAACTCCATACCAAAAATTTACCTTTCGCTCATGAAGATACCCAAAATTGTTCACTTCATACAGCAGCAAAATCCTCCATTTTTTTTTACTGCAGTCGAAATTCCCACATAGAACTGGGAGGAGCAAGAAATTCAATAGATTTACTCCCAAGTGTGTCTTTCAAGATTGTTATCTGACCTTCCTTCAGCAAGATGTTCTCTTCCAATGCCTGTAGCTTTGACAAATAATCCTGAGCACGTCAACCACAAATTGATGATCGATGCAAGGGATAGAAGAAGAGAAATTTAGAGAGAAAGACACTAGCTAGTTCATATATTTTCCGAGTAGTCTTCTAGAGTACAGCTCTCTATACCCAAATAAAATATTAATGGTTAAAAATAAATGTGGAACCATAATAGTCAATCAGAATGGATATAACACATGCTAGAACATTCTTAAATTTTCATAAAGTATCAGTCATACAAACTAATGATAAAGCCATCGCATTCAACAAAATTTATCTTCAAGATCAAGTTGACAGCAAGAAACTACCTGAAGTTCGAGATCTTTCATCGTATGAGTAAGGCAGGAAAGGCTATCCATTACATTCTGGATTTCACATTTTAGTATGTCATTCCCTCTTACTGCTGTCACCAGTTCAGCTTGCAACTGCTCCACTTCCAGCTCCTTAGAGTATAGTTTCTCTCTCAATAGTCTTGAAAATAAAGTTTCTGCTTCTAGCTCAGATCTTAAACCATCCTAGCAAGTAAAATAAAACTGTTAAATGTCCCAGCATAGTAAAGAAAATCAACTCTATGATTTGTAATGTCAGAATAATGTTCAGAATAATGTTCAGAATAATGTCCAATTTCCAGGGATAATGAGAAATTATTCACCTCTGGATATTGACTATTGAGTTGTAGTGCATTGTCTACACCAGAACTCAGAGAACTGGGATCAGACTTTGCTTGCAACAATATAGATAGTTTCTGTAAACTCATTGTCAAGCTCTCAATCCTATGCTTGAAGCCCCGAATTTTCGTTTCAGATTCAAGAAAAAATTGTCCATCCAAACAATTCTTGATATGCTCTATTCTATGCTCGGTTGGATGAAACCGACCAACTTTCTCTTTGATGAACTCAAGTAAGTTGGAACAAAATTGAGTACTCTCATTTAGCAATACCAGACCTTGATTTTGAAGATGGTAAACACGAGTTGACATTTCACTATCCAACTTGATGGTTATATCACCACTCTCACTCCCATTGTCTGTAACTTTGATGGGTATATTTTCACCAAGCTCTTTAGAGGTCGCTTTAGGCACAGCATGATGTTGTGAGAGTCTGTTAACAACGGTCTCTGCAATACTTCGAGGTGAGTCATTCCCAAATCCATATTCTCCCACTTCTTCAGACAAGAAACGAGGAAGAGAACATTTAGCTTCTCTTGATGAATAGAATCTGGGTTTATCTGCAATTCTAGCTGTTGTTGAAGAAGGTGGCAGACACTGTGCTCGAGGAGGCCGCCACCCGTTACTTCTCTGAGAATACTTATTCATGGATCCATTTATTCCCCGATGTTGTTCACCATCAATGTAGCGGGCTAAGACTCCATTTGAAACAGTACTGGAGCTAGTGGAAGAATTTCCTGAAGAATCATAGCAAGTTCTGGAGCATGGCCTAACAGGTCCCGAGCTATGGTAATCATTTGGCATTTCCATCTGCGCATGCTTTACCTTGAATTTCATCTCTCGAGATGGACTTTGACAAATAGTAAAAACCACGAGATCACAAATTAGACTACAGAATAATATGATAAAAACCAATTAAAAGATATATAATATTCTCCATGCAATTCAGTATACATTTTTCATCAAACTACATGATCTCTGATCGTGATCTTAATATTTATTAGAATAAACATCCTTACCAAGATGACTGTTCATGTTGCCGTCTGGAGCCACTGCTAGCATTACCAGGAGATCTACTTGGATCACTCGAACTATAAAAGTTTATTTGACCTTGGTCTCTAAATGCAGCGGAAGATAATGACCATGTCCTTCTAAGTTTAGGACTGGTGCTGGACCTTTCACTATCATCTATTTGCTTCCTGGACTTGGAAGACAAGTCCTTGGAACATTGGGGACTACTTCCAGCCTCATCACCGATAGAAGTATTCGCCCTACTCTCTAATGGATGTTCCCAACAAGCTTCGCTGTCATTTGTTGATGGAAGAGCTAATTTTTTTTTTTTTCCCATTGCAAGTGGCAAACGATCTAAAACATAACTTCTTCATCTTCAGTTCATCTTCAGTTTCTGTCCTTCAATCCCAATACTTTTCTCTATACCGTGTCTAATACATTCACTCTAGATCTAAAGAAAAGCATCATTAATAGAGAGACACAGGAAGCAAATGTCGAAAATGGTTTGGGATCTCGTTGAAGATACAAGCATAAATACAAAATTCTACCATCAAAGCGACGAAAATTTTCGACACATAGAAGAATGATAGAGAGATCGTTTCACTAACGAAGATGACTAGACTTGGAAATTATCCAAAACGAAAGTTTACAACGTCACCATGTACAAGCCGCGAAAAAATGCAGAACAGTTCAAAAATCAAAGTTCATGAACACATATATCAATCTTACGAAAAAGTGTTTCATGGAATCCAGACTTTCATTCACAGTGTTTTATTTGGTCGTCGATAAATTATACACGATAACAAAACAGAGGTTGTAAAAACGACTCATCGAGAACAAAACCAAACCCGAACATCAACGCATTCAGCTCTGATCGAGTCAATTTCCTCTCTCACTGCTACATTTCCTTCCATCAATAAAGAAACTCCAGAAAAACAGAAAACCGAAGAGAAAATTGCACGTTCTCACTTCACTCACTATTCGATATGCTAAACAGCAAGAACAGTGACGACAAAATCCTCCTCAACTTCATAAAACTATAGAGATTCAGGAAGTACAGAAAAAACAACTCACAAATAATATCAAACTGATTGCAGAAATCAAAACAGTCATAAATTCGTCAACATACCGATGGACTCCGGATTCTTTCTCCTCCAAATTCAAAATTCAAATCACCAAAGACAACTCAGAATTGCGAATTTTCAGGAAACTTAAAATCAAGCATCGACTGCTCGAAGAGTTGCCGGCATCACATGGTCGGCGACACAGGAATTACAGTTCGGCGACAATGATTGAAGGTTTGAAGACTAAATTACCTGACAAATTGAGTGAGAATATTGCGTCGACCAAACGTCCATTGTCAAGATTTCTCTTCCTTCGTTTTCCTGTTGCATTATGGAAAGGATAGTTTTTGTCCGAAGGTATTATTTATATCTTTTTTTGGTCCCGCTAAAAATAAATATATATTAAATTAAAATAAGCATTTCATAAAACTTTAATTTGTCATTTATTTCAAAAATTATAAAATTATTTATTTATTCAAAAATCATAATATTAACTTGTAACATAATATAATTTTAACTATATAATTTTCAAAAGAAATATTAATTAGTATATAAAAGTAAAAAAAAAAAAAATTATATTAATTAAAATAAATAAAAACAATATATAATTTTGGTTCATATTATGATAATTATGTACGGAAATTAAAAAATTATAATAATTTTGTTGATCTGATTCATTTCCGGTACCTTTCGTCCAAAACAATTAAAAGAAAATTCCTCTCCAAAATCCACGTCTCTGTTTCTCTCCCTTTGCGTCCATGGAGGTCGATGCCATTCCCAACGGCTCCGCCTCTGAAACCGCCATGGAAAATGCCGCAGCCGCAACGATTAGCCCTACGCCCTCCAAGATTAGCGGATTGGCTGAGTCTCTAAAGCTGGAACATCAATTTCTTAGGGTTCCCTTTGAGCACTACAAGAAGACGATTCGAGCTAATCATCGCGTTGCTGAGAAGGAGGTCTCTGCTGTGATATCCAGCGTTACTGATGCCGCCGATCGCGAAAACATGTCGAGGGAAGAGGCCGTACGTCACTTCACTTCGCTTGTATCCAGATTGCAGGGGTTGAAAAGAAAGGTAGTTGGTTCTAGGTTTTCTTTTTCATTTCTTGTCGTGAACCTTCTTTGTAAATTCTCTTGGAATAGGTCAATCTAGCGACGAATAGCTATTTTTAGGATGTTTCTTTTGCCTTATTTGTAAAAAGAATCACCGTATTGCACCCATGATTTCATCTGATGCTACTCGCGGGCCCGGATTTTCTTGGTGTCGTTGAATATTGATGAAGTATTGAATTGGATTATTTGATGTGGTTCCGGACCAGGGTGATCGTAATATTAAAGTGAGCAAGCACATAAGTCTATACTGGTAGCTAGTGAGAACTGTGCTGTTTAGCTAACTGAAAATATATATATTTGTTTGCCCTTTCTTGATAGATTGATAAGGAAAGAACTCATCTTTCTCTTATCTTTCGTTTCTTTTTGATGTTAAGTTGGAAGAGGGCAATCACACCGAGCAGATGCAAGCACAGAAGTGTCGCGCCAGACTCGATCATTTAGAATCGGCTGATGCTGATAATTTGGCGGAATGGAACAGCACACGCCTGAAAAGAATCCTTGTGGACTATATGCTGCGGATGTCATATTTTGACACTGCAGTGAAATTATCAGAGAGCAGCAATATTCAGGTTTTTACACTTGCTTGAATTTGATTCTGCACTGCTGAGAGTGTCCAGGCTCTTTTTATCTGTAAACACTTTGTCTTTAAAGAATTAATGCCTGCATATCATTTATATACCGATTTAATGAGGATACTTTTCGTTTGAAAGAGGTTCTTTATTATAATATTTTGATCACAAGCATTTGAGGTCAGTGTTACTTTAGTTTAGTTTGTCATATAGATCTTTTTGTTGCTAATTGCTGACGGATCATGTTCTTGCTTCCTTCAAGTAATAGTGAATCTAATGATTAGTATATGCACTAAATATTTTGGCTGTGGTAAAAGGGGGTACCATCTTTAGTTGTCTTGATAAAAAAAAAAAGTGTTTCCTGATAAATAAATAAATAAATGATGAATTTTTCATGGGAAATTGAACATGGATAGTAAGTTTACGACTTTATGGCAGATATTTTATTATTCTAAGTTTCAGTTAAGTGGAATTGAAAAGGGATCCATTTCACACAAGATGGATGTGTATTCTGTAGATGTACTGCAGTTGCATCAACTGATAAAATGCATGCTCTTACATTCTTGTGCTCTTCTTTAATTTATTTTTTAATCAGAAAATGTATTTTCATAGAGATAAAATGTAAGAGTGTTAAAGAGAGCAAAAAAGAAGCACAAGAATGGGATTGTCTAGACCCAATGCTAACTATACAAAAAAGGGGGTCTAATCGAAAAGCACTTGTTCTGGTGGAACTCTTCTGAGAGTGCATGTAATATCTGTTGATTGTTAAGAAGAATAAGAAAGGAAAATATTTTTGCATTCTGAAAAATGCAATCTACTTTTGACTAGTCAGTCATAAATTTCAGGATCTTGTCGACATTGATGTCTTTCAAGAAGCCAAAAGGGTTATTGATGCCCTTCAGAACAAGGAGATAGCACCTGCACTTTCCTGGTGTTCCGATAACAAGTCGAGGTTGAAGAAGTCCAAGGTATATGTGGTGGTTCTCAAGAGTCTTTCATTTACATAACTGATCCATTCCAAGGTATATCAACAATAATGCTGCAGTTGAGTTCTTGTGTTATAATTTGTTTGTCATGTTATGTTTCATTTAGGCTTGATATGTGTTTTGTTGCAACTGTATTAGAAATTGTTTAATGCTGGGAGTGTAATTGTGTGTGGTTTCTCAATGAAAACTTGGTCATTTATTTATAAAAATTAAAAATAAATAGGTATGGTGTCTCTGTTGGGTTTGTGAATCGTCTGTACCGAATTGGGTTTATTTGAAGGCTGTTCCTTGTGAAGTAAATTCATGTTTGCTCTTATATTTTCTGAAATTTAGGTAGCTTTTCAAGGTATATGGAATCAATATTAATAATGGATTGTCCTCTCAAAAAATTATTAATGATGTGTTGAGAATTTAATTCTAGAGGAGCATCCAATAATTCATAAATATAATTAGTTGAACATGGCCCGGGGTCAATTTTTTTAACTCCTGAGTTATTGTTTATCTGCTCTATTATGGAAAGAAAAAAGTATTGTTTATAAAGATTTTATTTGAAGTACAAGTGTTTTTAATTGATCAGCAATGGATGATTGTTCAAGATCTATTGATACTAGCACTAATTGGTTGTTACCATTAAGTCATGTCAGTTTCTTCAGCATCATACCATTGGTTTTGTATTTGTATCAATATAAAACTAGTTTAAGGATGAAGCATAGACAATGAATTATAGTGTAGTCGTTCAATAAAAACCAATCGAACACTTAAGTATTCAGTTTAGGAATATGTACCAATACAAAACCATTTGTTTATCAAGAACATTGTAACTAGAACCTTTTAGCATTAGGATGCAAAGGTTGTGGGATATTTCCATTCTTGAGAGGATGGGTGAATGTCATTATTGGTTTTGAGAAATTTCTTGTTGTAGTGTAATTCATTTCAAATCTGCTCCATTTTAAAAGGAAATTCCACTTTCTCCTTCGTGGATATTCAAATTTATAGTTATAATATTTTCTTACAATATGTGGCAATTAGTTATATGCTTATAAAGTACCATGGAGATATTATTGTTCTGTTGCCAATATATTGTAATGTAACTGAACTTTTGGAACGATTTCAAATGCAGTTTTGGGTTACATGAGTTCTTTCAGCTTGCATAACTTCCTAATTTTTATTGATGACAGAGCAAATTTGAGTTTCAACTGAGGCTTCAAGAGTTCATAGAATTGGTACGAGCTGACAAGAATATGCAAGCTATTACATATGCACGGAAGTACCTTGCTCCCTGGGGAGCCACCCATATGAAAGAACTGCAGCGGGTCATGGCAACATTGGCTTTCAAGAGTAGTACTGAGTGTGCCATATACAAGGTGAATCATCTTATCTTGTTTCTATCAGTTTGCACAACTTAATTTCATTAGCGCTTAGAACAGAAAGCTACACCTTTTTCCTGACTAACTAGAATATATATTTTAAAAACTTTATGTTAGTTTGAACTATAAATAATCACTTGAGAAAATTACATCCTATCGAAGTGACAGTTAGCAATTGTTGTTACTTTTCCCCATGATGACTGAATGTCCCTTCTTCCTCCTCCCATTGGGGGCCGCTCAGAATTGATTATGATTTACTATATATGTATAAAATCACAATAATGCTTCGTTTCCTTCCTGTTTCATCATTTTCTACCTCCTAATTCCATTTCCCTTTTGATTCCATCTTGGCTATTAAGAGGGAAACATTATTTGGGGAAATCTTATGTTTGTAATATCTGTCCTTCCTGAAAGTATTTTAGATGAAAGTAAGTGCAGTTATCCTAGCCTTCTAGCATATGATGGTTTGTTCTGGCCTTTTGTTTGTTCATGATATCGAACCTTGTACTCTGTCTAAGTTGATATGAAGTGTATTAAATTGTGTTTTGTAGGTCTTATTTGAACCAAAGCAGTGGGATCATCTTGTGGATGTATTTAGACAAGAGTTCTGCAAAATATATGGCATGACACTCGAGCCATTGCTAAATATTTATCTGCAAGCAGGCTTGTCTGCTCTCAAAACTCCGTATCCTTTGTTACTGTCTCATATACGTGTGATTCACATTCACTGCAGTTTAACTCTTTCATCTAATTAATAGACATGCAGAAACAAAAGAAGAAAAAACCCTTAACTTGGCACGCCATTTCTTGTAAAAGTGAGGAGTGCTTCTGAAAATTCTAAGTTGGAGCACTCTCTGGTGCTTGTTCAAGAAGTACCTATAGAAGTTTTTCACCTAAAAGTTTTACTTCCCGTAGTCATCTTAAATTTAATCCTAAAAGTGATTGCATCTGAAATAATCTTTCACTCTTCTAGTATGAATACAGATAAGTTTGACTTGACCTGCTTAGATACTGCTATGAGGATGATTGCACCAAGGAAGACCCACTATCGCAAGAAAGTTTTAGGAAGCTGGCAGTGCCATTGCCTTATTCAAAGCAGCATCATTCGAAGCTCGTGTGTTACATAACGAAAGAGCTCATGGACACCGAGAACCCGCCACAAGTGCTTCCGAATGGTTATGTCTACAGCGCCAAGGTTAGTATAATTTTGATTGCATAAGATAATCTGAAAATTTCTACCCAAGTGCATTTTGAAATGTTTAGTTTGTGTTTGGTATTGGCGGTGGCAGGCTCTGGAAAAAATGGCCAAGGAAAACAGCGGTAAAATCACATGTCCAAGAACAGGCTTTGTGTGCAGTTATTCTGAGCTGGTGAAAGCATACATATCATAGCGTTGCAACATTATTGATAGGTGGAATTCACATTTCCTTTCGTCTCTGTACTTTGTTCCTTTACTGTTGGTGATCGATATGGCCCCATGAATTGTGGAAACATATTTCAATGTTTAGTTAAAAAAAAAAAAAAAAAGTCTATTTTTACAGGAGATATTTCCTTGCATTTTCGAAGAATGATGACGTGTAAATTAAACTATAGCTGTGTTCTTTATGTTGCTCTTATCGCTTCACTGGTGGGTGGAAAATTGTAATTTGACTTAGGCATGACATTTAATAGAAGTGGTATTTTTCTATTAACGAAAAGAAATTCTTGGTTATAAAATATACATCCAAAAACATTGCAGATTTTGTAATTAATATTTCAGTCTGCAAACTTTAGTGATAATTTGTTTTTGTATTTAAAATTTTAGAAGAATTGATACTGAGTATTAAAAATTGTGAACAATTAGCAATAATAGTCACTACCATAATTAAAATAATCACTTATTTTGATGAATGTCTAGTCCTTTGTTCTGTTACAGACTATCACAGAGTAGCCTACCCAACTCACAAGTTCTTACTAGATCGAGAAAGTGGTTTTAATCAAATCAGATAATAATAAAAAAAAAAACTTTTAGAGGATAAAAGATTAAGCGAAATAGATCATTATACATAATTTATCAAAACTAAGCCGGAAGACACATAGGCAAAAAATGTGGTGCCAATGAACATTTGAGATGGGATTCAAATCACAGTACAATTCTATTTTAGAAGTCTCTCTTAGGCACAAGTCATTTATATCATATTCCAACGCAAACGCAGAATAATGAACTGTTTATTAGGCAGACTCGCTGTCCCCCCTTGGAGAACCATTATTATCTTCATCGTTTACAGGACTCGCTTCTTCTCTGGGCAATGGACTGGGGCTGCGACTGTAGCCATTTTCTTCCCTCCGATAATTCTTACTTCCACCACCATTGAAGTCCTCGCCTTCATCCATTGGACTCCTGCTCCTATCCATTGGACTCCTGCTCCTATCCATTGGACTCCTGCTCCTATCTATTGGACTCCTGCTCCTATCTATTGGACTCCTGCTCCTATCTATTGGACTCCTGCTCCTATCTATTGGACTCCTGCTTCTACCTCTTGGACTCCTGCTTCTACCTCTTGGACTTCTGCTCCTGCTCCTACCTCTTGGACTTCTGCTCCTGCTCCTACCTCTTGGACTTCTGCTCCTGCTCCTACCTCTCGGACTCCTGCTGCTCCTACCTCCTCTTGGACTGTCGCGATTCCCAGGGGACAGACTGTGTCTTGCTTCTTCTGGACTCCTCTCATCAGGTGTGGCGCTACGTTTCATAGCTTTCGAAGGAGGAGGTGACAAACTGTGCCTCTTTGGGCTTGACCTGCCTCTCGGACTCCTTGATCTTTTATCTGATCGTTCAAGGCTTCTCTCTCTTTTTACGGGTGATCTAGAACGACTGTAGACACAATAAACAAATTCTCAGGAAGTTAGTTAATGAAGTCCAAAAGTTCAAAACTGAATCATCAAACTCATGATGTGAGGCAATGTGAAGAAACATGAAAACTTCAATAACAGGATAAATGAAAACGGTTCAATTGAAACAAACCTGTAGCTATGACCTCTGCTGTAACTTCGACTGCGGCTTCTACCACGGCGAGGACTGGGTGAACGTGAGTAACTTCCACGTCTGTACCATCAGTTTTTTCTCAGAATGATCGACAGGAGAAAAAAAATTTAGTGAAGGAAAACAATTTGAAAAGATGACATACTTCAATTTCTTAGGACTGTTCTGGCAATTCTTCTCTATGTGACCCCGTTCACCACAGCGATAGCACTTATTTTTCCAGTCTCCAGCCTTGCAATCTCTAGCCCAGTGGCCATCAATCCCACAGTTAAAACATCGCCCAGTTCCAGGAGGGCCTCTACCAAGATATTCACGGGATCCACCAGGACCACGGGGTACCTATATCAAAATTGGAAAATTTAATGACATTAAAAAATAATTCACAAAATCAATATACAAGATATAAGCAAAATAAACTCACCAGAGCAAGCCAGGAAAACAACACATAATAGCCTTAGAAAAAAATGAACAAATGTGACTACAAAAAAACTGAAATTGTATGAAGGTTGTCTTCCAAGTTCCACGTACCAAAATAATATTATATTAGCACATACAAGAACAGAAACCACCAAAAGACAACCGTCTGAAAGAAACTACACAGTTTATGAAAGGTTTTGTCTGGAAATATTATGGTACATACCCCTTTAGCTATTTCCACAATGATTCTACTTCCTTGAACATCCCTCCCATTTAAACTATATCTTGCATCGTCAGCATCTCGGGGATCACTAAACTCCTGTTATCAGATGTTTTGAGCAAACAGACCAAGAAAAAATATTACGCTTGCAAAAATTGACAAGCACCATACAGTAGACAAAAAGTAAGACAGCAATAGCAACTTTTCCTTGAAAGTATAGCCTGAATAATAACGTTGGAAAGAGAGGGAGGGAAATACATACAACAAATGCATAGTCTCGCTTCATATCCACATCGCGTACTCTGCGCAAATTGGTTCCAGAAACAGGTAAGGCCATCATTTGATACAAGTATCAAAGGGTTGACACCTCGCCCCTCATAGATGAACTAAACACCACTCTGAGATTCTTGGCATTTCCATAAAAACAGGCAATAACATAATAGAAAGACTCGCCAAATCCACCAAGGGAACCCTCTCACCATAGACCTCCAGGTTTGGCATAAGCCAAAAAACCTTCAACAAGATCACTCAAGTTAAACCACACAGACCCATCAACAATCCACACTTTCACGGATATATCAAAATACACATTTACAGTCGTGCACCCAAAAAAAGGGCTTGGTAAATGCCTCAAGAGGTCTGATAATAATGTTGGCAATAGCATAACCGGGACAAATGAAGTAAGCGAAGAATAACTAAACACACATACACCTTTCGAATTCAACAAATTAATGTTAGCACACAAATTCAACCAAGGATGAACAGTATATCCGGCTAGAATCTACATCTGTAAAATACAGCATAGCTAAACACACATACACTTATCGAATTCAACAAATTAATGTTAGCACACAAATTCGACCAAGGCTGAACGGTACGGTACATCCGGCTAGATTCTGCATACCTTCCATAACGACTGAACAAGTCATCCAGATCACGGGACCTCGTCCGTGAAGACAGGCGCCCAACGTAGAGCCGAGTACCACCGTAACGATCGTCGTACCTTGGCATTTTATCTACAATTGACAATCGCAGTACCACCACAATCACTGACAGTATAAACAAACCAGTAACTATTTGTTTAATCTAAATAGAGACTATACAAAACCTTAATTGGGCTCAAAAAAAAAAATCAATAGAAATATGCTATGAATTTTGACCCGAATGCTTCGAGGAGAGCAAACCTAGAGAATTCGAAGGAGGCGCACCTGGATAGAATACGAAACCCTAAATTTCCCGTCTTCAGCATGAAAAAAAATGATTTCCGTAAGCCTCTCCAGATATTTTTATACCGATTTCTTTTTATGGAACAGCCGTAGGCCCAATTTTACAGATAACAATTGTTGTGGGCTCAATTGTTGTGGGCCGCGCCGACTAAAACAGGTTGATTGGGCTACTTTTAAGCCCAATAGAAAACTATTTGGTATTCTTGTATTTTTAGGTTTAAAACTTTGACATGGATTTTATGTTATAAATTTAATTTTCAAAAATTAAAAATTAAAAATTAAAATCCAAATGGGTCTAGATTTGGTACTTTCTTACTTATTTATTTAGCGGTTTAATATGTCATGAAATAAATTACTTGTATATGGTTGAACTAAAAAATATATAATTATATATAATTAAAAAAAACAAATTGGAAGGTGGTTTTTTTTAATTTTAATAAAAACATTTCCAAATTTAGGACATAATAAAAACCTAGGGGCGATTTTGTATAATTTAATACACAAAATAAAAAATAAAAAGCGAAAATGCAATTTGACTGATACAACTGTTCGTATAAATAAAATAGTCAATGCGTTTTAAGACGGGAAAGAAAAATTTTGCAAGAGAAAAACGGAAAAGGGCAAAAGAATACCAAACTAAAAATAATCATCCCCCTCCACTTCCAAAGATTTCCCTCGGTTTCCGACGCTTTTCTTAATCTCTTTCCCTCTCCGATAAAACTTCAGTTCGAATCCATCCCTTTTATGTGTGCTTTGGACTGATTGCATTTGGAATTCTTCGAGATTCTCATACTTTCTAATCGTTTTGCAATTAGGAAATAGTTTGTTTTGTTATTGTGCTGTTTTAGTTTTTTTCTTTTTTTTTTTCGTTCTGATCTCCTCGAATTTTTGTTCCCGGGTTTCTTCAATCGACTTCCGATCGGCTGATTCCGGTGTGAGAAAGTTAGTGCGTTTAGTGTTCGATTGTTCATTGTTGTGACGCTTCAGGATAGATTGGGGACTTGATTTTGGTAATTGTTTTTGAGAGTCCGTTAGGGTTTTGCATCTTTGGCGTAGAGAGAATTGGTTAGACTAAATTAAAAACCTTAATCCTTGCTTATAAAGCTTTTGCTTCGTTCCGGGATGCTAATTTGACGATGAATCAAGGCGGCAATACTGAAACCTTAGTTCCCGCACAACCTAGTTCGCTCGAGGTAATATATCTATATCATTCCATAGCTTATAATTGTTATACATTGTGTGCTATTTTATATTGATTTTCGTGGTTTACTTGGAATTAAACTGTATATGAAACTCGAAACAAAACGTGTTTGGCTCATTCAGTAAGTTGGAACCGCTTTCTGTTTTGATACTTAATAAAGTCTGTGGATGTGCCCATACGAGTAATGGAAACGTAACCTATTCTTCTTGTTCTCTAGCTCTGTACTGTGTTATTTCTACCTTGAGATTCATTGAACTTGAACCTAATTACTTTATATGTTTGCTTTGCTTCTTGCGAAGAAATATTTGAGTTTTTTGTACATGCATTTTTAAGATATGGGGGAGAAAGGTGACCGAGTATTTTGTTCCTAATTTCATTTTTTTGGCATGATTTTGGTGGAAGACTGTGGATTGCATTTTCCTAATCTTGACTGCAATATATAACACACTAGCCAAGTTGCATGGATTTCGTTATATTTTGGTACCCTGACATAGGTACAATCACAGGAAAATTAAGGGGGCCTTAGAATGATTATTTTAATTACTCATGTTGCATTAAAAAAATTCGATAAAGCAAGTGGCGATTTTAGCTTGTCCTCATAGATGACTATTATTTTCTTTCATGCGTGTATGCGTGTTATGTTTATTTTATTTCTGGCTTTTGTAATCAGAGACATGAGATGAATATTTCTGTTACTTCCTGGCCATTTAGATTTTCATTGCATACAAGTTCAGTGGAGTTGTATGTATGATGGCAATGCTGACCTAATATATTTCCATATATATTGTTTTTCAGAATCAACACATTGGTGACGGAAATCAATCAGCAACGACATCAACATATCTGCCTTTGACATCCGCTCCAGAAGCCATAGCATGGGCTAATCACAAGGTGGATGGCAGTTCCAATGAGAATGGGTTGCTCCCAAATTCCACTTTCCAATATAATCAACAAGTGCTCCCACCTGCAAGAAATGTACAAGATGGTCTAAACGTGTCTTCTGTTGCTTGTAGTTCATCAAGTTTTGTGACATCAAATGCGCCACAAGATTACAATGCCTATGCACCATATTCCAATTCTTCTGATCCTTATGGTTATGCAAATGCCGGTTACCAAGGTTACTATAACAACTATCAGCAGCAACCCAACCATTCTTATTCACAGCCTGTAGGAGCATATCAAAACACAGGTGCTCCTTATCAGCCCCTTTCCTCATATCAAAATACAGGGTTTTATGCTGGGTCTACAAGTTATTCAACCACTTACTACAATCCTGGTGATTATCAGACAGCTGGAGGTTACCCAACTAGCAGCTATAGCAATCAGACTACCTCCTCATGGAATGGTGGCAATTATGGAAATTATGTTCCTAATCAGTATTCTCAGTATACAACTGATTCTAGTGGAGCTTACAGTTCGAGTTCTACAAATGCAAATTCTCTACAGTATCAACAACACTACAAGCAGTGGGCCGATTACTACAGTCAAACAGAAGTTAGCTGTGCCCCTGGGACTGAAAAACTGTCTGCGCCGGGTACTGCTAATGCAGGCTATCAGGTTCATGGTTCAACTAATTATCCTGCACCAAACAGCCAACCTCCACCTTCATATACCCCCTCATGGCGGCCAGAATCTGGTTCATCTGAACTGGTTTCTGCTCAGGTTTGAATTTCGTTTTTTCATGTATATGATTGGAATAACTTCTTGTATAAGGGCATGTACATTTTTAAAATTTTCTTTTATGTACTTGTGGTATAATTGATATGAAATTTATTTGTTCTATCTTGAATGTATATTTCATGCTTCTGTGGAGATGTGATAGGATAGCCAAATGGGTAATTCTGTCTGCACTTAATTCTTTTAGTTTAACCATGATTATCTGTTTTATTTTTCTGCTCCCTTTTTCCGTAATTTTGTACCTCTCTTTAGTTGTTTGAACTCATATTCATTTTGTCTCCTGTAAACCCTCGCATTTAAATATTGACTTTTGATTCTTTGATAAAAAGTTAGAACTGACATGGCCCATGGTTCATCTTATTCCTCTAATTGTCGATTTTTTGCTGTTTTATGTTTTTTGCAAGCTCAAAATTCTGCCCTTAATAGTTCTTTGCATAATGTTGATTACTTTCGTGACATCCTTAAATAATTGCAATTTATTGCGGACAATGCTTAAACTTTGTGGTTATTTATAAAATTTGCAACAATTATTTGGTCAGTTGAACCACTATTCTTTTGCCCTTTTTTCCAGCCTGGTGCTGTAAGTAGTGGTAATCATGATGGTTACTGGAAGCATGGGACTCCAAATTCTCAAGTGCACCTTACTAATGCTACTCAACCTCACTTTGAAAAGCCTCTAGATTTAAAAACTTCTTATGATAGCTTTCAGGATCAACAGAAAAGTGCAGGTCCCCAGGGGCCCAATTTACAATATCCAGCACATTTGGCTCCCCAGAGCTATCAGTTACCCTCACAATCTGTTCCACCTTTGGAAGCTAGAAGGACCAAGCTGCAGATTCCAACAAACCCTAGGATTGCTTCCAATTTGAGCATACTAAAAACCAGCAAGGATATCTCCACAGCTGATGCTGCTGTACAACCTGCTTACGTCAGTGTTTTGCTGCCGAAGCCAAATGAAAAAGAATTGTCCAATGATACTGCAGAGTCTGTCCTGAAGGTTCTTTTCTCATTTACTAATTTTTTTTCCTGAAAATAAATGCACTTTTTATGTATTTATGGGCCACTTGTTATAACAATGTACTGAAACGTCAACATATTAAACCATAACTCAATATCCCTCACATTGTTTCAAAGTAGTCTGAAGGATTGATATCCAAGCCGCAGAAAGGCAGCAGTGATCATTCTTTGTGCTTTTCATTTATTTGGTGTTGAATGTGCTATATAGAAGCCAGTGAAATTACAAAAGCCTAATGCTTCCTATTTGAGTTTTAGCTATGAATTCCCTCGTACTTATGAATACGATAAAAGAAAAAGGTGAGAAGTCTTGGAGACATGAGGGAATTCGGAACTTGGTGTCCCTTTTCAAAGTTGTGGGGGTTATATGAAATTTTCGTTTAATTGAGCCCTGGAGTTGTAGATCCCTATCACAACATATATATATATATATATATATTCTCTTCTCTTTCTTTTTAATTTTATATATATATATATATAGTAAGATGTATATATTTTTTTTTTTTACTTGCAGCCTGGAATGTTCCCTAAATCATTGCGTGGTTATGTTGAGAGGGCTTTGGCACGATGTAAAGATGAGAAGCTAATGACATCTTGCCAATCAGTTCTGAAGGAGGTATTGTGCTTTGATTGAAGTTATTGCACAAAGCAGTATAACTACTTGAGTTTGTATTTATTATCTTCAAGCTTCAATTTTGATCAAGCGTGTCATTGTCTTAATCTTTTAGTTTGTTTGTATATGTCAATTTTTTCAATCAAATAGGCATTGTCTAATCCTACCCTATTTTATTTTTTTTAAGTTTCATCCTTTATCCATTAATTTTTAAAATAATTATGTTATCTTAAGGTTCATTTTTTGGTGGTTTCCTTATAAACTATTTGTTATATAAACTAGACAGTTAGC